TGTTGAATCTCGAATTCGAAATCGGATTTTCGAATACCATTGACACCCCTAATTGCAATCCCCTGAACTTTCTTATACAATTGCAAGTAGATTCCCTCTGTTAGAGTCTTCTAAAAAGGGGCACAAAATGTCCAAAATACCCATGCAATTATTATTGAGGCTGGTTTATATAGAAAAAAAAAACAATACAAAGTTTATAAACAATAAAAAATAGAGAATTTAAAGCTGCAGTTTCACATTTGACCGATTGCTATAAGGGAAAATTTGGAAAGTAAATCAATTTTAGAAAATAGATTTGAAGGGCTTGGGCTAGCCATTTATATGAAGAGAAAATCAGAAAATAAACACTTTGGTCAAAAGTAAACGCATGTGTATTTTGGACATTTCATGCCTCTTTTTAGAAGATTCTAACAAAAAGGGTCTACTTGCAATTATGTCAGAAAATTCAAGGGAAGTGATTACAATTATCAAACTTAGGAGATTTCAACAATAACTAGAAACTATAGGAGAGGTTTCAATAATTTACCTTTTTCAAAACAACAATCCAATCATAAATAAGATATCACATCAACACCTCACATGCACATGTCAACGTGCATTAAGAACATCTCCCGTACTTGTCATCAAGAGATGTTCTTGATACACAGTTGGGATGTGCTTTGGGGCATTGTGGGGTGTTGATGTGAACTCTTGCAAATAAATATGTTAAATTCTGTACACACAGATCATATGATCCCAAATTTGCATTGGTGCCTCACATAGTATATGCCCCATGCACACCCAACAACACATCCCAACAGTGTATTGGGAGCATGTCCCTATGACAAGTATGGAAGATTAGGGATGGCAATTTTCTCCATCCCCGCCCTGATCCCGATTATATATTAAACTAGCGGGGACCTGTGCGATGCATAGGATTTGTTAAGTTAAAGATAAACAATAGAAGATTAATTTTAATAATTATTTTTTTTATAAATCAACAATAACAATAATTAATTTTAGAAAAAGGTTGTTTATCAAACTTAGGGATGGCAATTTTTCCCATTTCCCCGATCCCTATGGGGATGTACCTCGATTGGGGAGGGGGATGGGGACGATTTTTCCCCCACATGGACAGAGATGGAGAGATTTTCATCCCCGTTGGCGGGGATGCGGAGAGCTCTCCCTGCCCCCATGTGGACCCCGATCCCCACCCCATGGGTTACCTCTAATATATATGTATATATACACATACGTTTATATATGTATATATGTACACATACGTCTAAATGTTAATATTTTTAAAAGGGTTCGACTATGATATGAGAAAGATATGATATTTAAAAAATTTCTAACCAGACAACTAGAATCATAAACTTGGTAGCAAATTAGGTTTTATTTATCAAAATTCATGGGTGGGTTTTGATTGGTCAAAACTCTTCCCATACCATGTTTTTTCCGCATCACAGATTTTCCCTTTTAAAAAATATGCTTGAATATGCTTGGATCTTTTATAATTCTTAAATAAAACAAAAAACAAAAACATAATGGTTGACATTATAATGAATCATTGAGAGTGGGGATCCTTGTGGAGACAAGGATGGGGATAACTTTGTCCTCGTTAGCGGGGATGGGGATGGGGAGAGGCTCCTCATCCCCACTTCGCCCCATTGCCATTCAGAATCAAACTAATGAAATTGACAAACTTGATTTCTAGTATTTCTACTTGGCTTTGGTTCAACAATTTCCCAACCCGACTGGGTTGGAATTGTTTTGCTTTGGCCATTTGTAAACTAACTAAAATCGAATGACCCGACCATAGATATATTAATATTTTATATTTTAAATATATTTTTTAATATGGGAAAGTGGGAAAATTCCAATATTTCTTAGGCCAAAATAGTTTATATCATAAATTTAATTTTTAAATTTATGGCTTGAGTGACCAACCCCCCTGATTAGGTCGATTTGGTTGGCTAGACAACCTACAACTGAACCGAACCAACATGTGAACAATAGTTTAATATCCAATAATGATTAAATATTTATAGCAAAAATACCAATAAATTAAATTTAAAAGATAAAGAATAGTAGTTTAAACTTCAATAATTATTGAAAATTTTCTATGAAAATATATGTATCACAAAAAACAATAAATAATTACTGAAATACAATAAGTATTAATTTTAGTATAGATAAGTATATAATAAATAAAGATTAAGTTTTTAAAATTATTATTAATGAATAGTAATTTTTTTGAAAGTTATTTTCTAGAATTATTAATTGGTATAAATGAAATTAGTTATTTATAATATCATTTATTTATTGAAATAATATCATTATTTAAATTTTAGAATATTAATTACTTGTTGAATTTAATAATCCATAAAATTATAGTACTATTAATACATAATCCATAAAATATTAATTACTTGTTAAAATTTTGTTATTTTAACTATTTAAAATCTAGTTATGTTAAATATATATTTATCTAAAATAGTTAGTTATTTAACTAAATATTTAAAACCTTAATCTATTTATTATAATTGAAATTTATTCAATAACTATTTAAAATATATTATTAATTGATTTACAATATTAATTTGAGTATTTTTTATTTAAGATATTTAGTTACTAAGATATTTAAATAATATTTCATTTTTAATATTATATTTTATTATTTGAATAACATTTAGATTGAATAATAACCCACTTTATTTGGTATTTACTATTTATCTAATAAATCTATTTTAAGTTATTTATATTTTAAAAATTTTATTTATTTTAAATTAATTTATTTTTTTTAAAAAACAATGTTAACTAAAAAATTGCGAGGGTTGTGTTATTCCAAATTGGGGGTCAACAAGGAGAAATATGATCCCCAATTCCCCACCCCAAAGCAGTCCCGTTGGTCGTTGCCATTCATACGGAAGATGTTCCCATTGTGTATACATTGAGATGTGTGGCGCCAATCTGGACTCTATGATCCCCACACACATAGGTCCCATTCTCTAGCCTATTATTATTCATGGCTTCCTGTTTGTGTTGGTAGCAGACCCTGAATCTTTAATAGCGATCTCTTCAGTGTCCAAAATTTTCGAACAACATTTCTGGAACCCACTGAGTGTTGTAAGGGTAAATTTCTTAAACTACCCTTATGGTTTAACTAATTGACTAACTATACCCTTATTGTTTCAAAATTGACTAAGGCTACCCCTATTGTTTCTCACAATTGACAACTCTATTTTTACCGTTAACTTCCGTCAAAACCCATGAAAATGCCTAAACTACTCTGCCGTAGCCGCTTAAAAAATAGATCTCTAAAACAGCCCTGTAACTCCCGCTGGTGAGTGGAGTTACATGGCAGTGCTGTCTAAGACAACCTTGTAACTCCCGCCGTTGGGTGGAGTTACAACCCAAATCGAGATTGAGTGGTACAGTTGAGAAGGGAGCACATTAGATGGAAAATTTGATTTAAGAACATAAATAATAACTAAAACCTTTAGTTTAGCGGCAATATTAGCGTGTTCTTTGATCTGCACATCGAAGTTGTTCTACATTTCCATTATCTCGGATCTAGCTATTAGCTGAGCTCTAAGCTCGATTTCCATTTGTTGCAGGTCCTCCCTCTGCCTGGAGACATTATGAAGATGTTGCTGAAAATGAGTCTTATCTCATATATTGTTCGCTCATCGGATTGCCCCATCTTCAACCGTTCCAACTCCTATGTCCAACAGTTACGTTCTATTAACCAACCGCCAAAGAACAAGAGTACGAATAGGAGACAAGGAGAGGTAGAAAGGAAGAGGTCTAGCTTGGAATAGAAGGTATCTTTACCTCATTTCTAGCACTTCGGGCGGAATGATGGTCGGAAAACGGCACGCCATTCCTTCCTTGCAAACTGAGAAGGCATCGGCAGTGAACCACCACGCCCTGTGGCAACTCCGGCTACAGACTCCATGAAATCAGAAGCTACTTCTCCACCTCTCTCTATCTTCCTTGGTAAATCTTGAGTTCAAGTTCAATGAGTTCTTATAAAACCAAAACCCTAAAATTTTACGCTCTACAAAAAAACTCTAGAACCAGAGCATTAACTAGGAGAGACACTTGAAGGAGATCGAACGTGAGAAATCAGAGGAAGCAGAAAAAGGGCTGACACTTGAGAAGACGAAGACGAATCAACTTACTGCCTTACGAAGATGAAGAAGCTTGTTTTCTCTCTTTTCTAGTTTAGGAGATTTTTGCGATTTCGAGGAAGGGTTGAAGAACCAAAAGCGTAAGAAAAAGAATGACGGAGACTATGGGAGGAAGATAGAGGGAAGAGAGAGAGGTTGGCGGATGAAGGGTGTGCCGGGTCGAGAGGAAGGAGACAAGGGTAACTTTGGGTTAAAAAAAAATTAAACATCACGTGATATTATGTGCGTACGGATTTAACGGAATATTAACAAACATTAATGATAAGGGTAGAGTTGGTCAACTGTCACAAACAGTAAGGGTAATGTTAGTCAATTTTCAAACAGTAAGAATACACTTAGTCAATTAGCTAAACCATAAGGGTAGTTTAAGAAATTTACCCATATTGTAAAATCATGAGACACGTGGCAAGATCGGGATGATATTATCAATTTACACTTATCAATCGTGTGTTATAGTGAGGCTCGGCCTGGATTCCAAATCGGTCCGGTCACTGGGTTATAGGTTGAATTCTCCCATTATTCGGTTTTACTAATTAATTTATTTAACTAAAAATATTTAACAATAGTAAGTAATTTCATAAATTTAAAATAGTAAATATACTATTCTTTATAAACTACTAGAGCTGTCATTCTGTCAGTGGGTACCAATTATAGTCGGTCCGATCGCCCGGTTCGACCCGAGTTTGATAATTTATGGTAGGCGTAGGCGGCGCGTAGCAAAGAGAGTGATATAAACATTTCCTATTTGTGGAGTAGATAGAGGAGAGTGAGAGTGACTCTGTCCGTTATATGGATAAGGGGTGCTGCATTATTTTTATCTTTTTTATTGGCGAATAGATAAATTGCTTTCGCAAGTGGGTACATCATTGTGCGTGCCATCCAGTTCTTTCACCCATTCTTTAGGGTTATTGAGCTGCGCGGTTACAGAGGTAAGCTGCCATCGCCACATTCCAATCTCTCTCTCTCTCTCTTCACTGGTCTTCTTCGCCATTTCTCATCTGTTCCCTTCTCTGCATTTCCGCTGTTCTATTGCAGGTCTGCGATTCCACCTGTTTACTCACCGTCAGGTACCCTTTATGTCACACGGACTTTGTGGTGTTTTGTTATTTTATGTATCGGATGCTTTTAGAGGACTAGAATCGCGGGATCTGATCGGATAATTGAATGATCTGTTGTGTGTTTTGGATTCTCGTTTTTGTTTTAGTTTTTCTTAAACCAATACACTGCTGGAGCAGAATTCTGCTTCAAGGATGCTTCACATCCGAGATATCAAAGATCTAACGATCTTACTCTGTGTTTGATGCGATCATTCATCAGTTGATGGTGATAATCTGTTTCTTTTTGTTGTATGCATTCAATTCAGTTATTCCATATGCATGTATATCTCCCAGAATTTGATTTATAAGGTTGTAGCATTCATTTTGCTTAGATGAAGTGTGATGGGCTACTAGATGGTCAATTTTTCCAGTTAACAAACTCGTATATGGCCATAAAATTTCCTGTGGGCGTTTAAATCTGGGTTCTTTTTCAACACATTGCACGAATCTTTAAGTGGGTGTTCTATATGGATTTTAACTGGATCTAGTATGTCATAGACATCCTTACCAGAAACTGTTACCAATAATGCCCAAGCAAAATGCAGCTTACGTATCTAGCCAAGCTATCATGCATCTCATAGACTCATACATGTTTCTTTGTTAATTCTTGTAAATAGTACATGTTGCAAATAAAAAATTCCACACCAATTTTTTCTCGATGCCAGAATTTGTAATAATCACAGGGTGTCTCTAGATGCATGTAAATGCTCTTGAATTGTGATAATGTGTTATTGAATTTCAATCGAAATGTGATATGCTTGCATCCTTATGCACTATTTCTATCTAATTGTAAAGATGAGCTGGTCTTGTTAGTAATTCCGCGGCATTTGAACCCTCATTAATAATTATCATTTGCATTGGAATTTTATTCTGTCACCCAATAAATATTGTCCCATTTTTTGGAAAGGATAAGCCTTATAGGCTTATTGAATAATTTTAGCACCCATCTGAATTGGTTGTTTCAGAAGCATTCTCTTGTGGCATGTTTCTTTGTCAGATTGTAACATACATTGGTTTACATGAATTATTTGGTATGAAGGATGCAAGGAGCAATTCAGGCAATCCGATCACGTGGAAGCTTTCTCAAAAATGCAGTTCTGCAACACATCCGTGTAGTGGATCCAGTGATGCGGCCTCTTGTATTTTCACGCTTTGAGTCAGTTTCCCCTGCTCGATTGGAAGAAAATGGTTTTGAAACCACCACCATTTCAGATATATTGAAAGCCAAGGGTAAAGGTGCTGATGGTTCCTGGCTTTGGTGCACAACAGATGACACTGTTTATGATGCTGTAAAATCAGTATGTACTTTTTTTCTCCTCTATGTTTCTTTCAAGGCTTCTAATTTGAATGTCATTAGCACATTCAACTCCCTGCCCTATCTAAAATGTTTTGAATAGAAAAAACCCCAGAAAATTTGCTTTTGTTTTCCATGTAGCATAGGACTATTAGTTCAGATCTTGGCATCTTGTTGGCAACTTGCACTATGAGGAGTTGATGTGGAAAATACTTGGAGCCCTTTGAAATGCCAACGAAAGTGGCTTTGGCATAAATTCTGCTCCACAGAATGTGTGCCTTAAGGATGAGTTTAAGCCAAAAGTGTTTCTTTTTCCATATAAGCCTTTTAGCTCTGCACACTCACTTCTCATAATGAGTTCTGAATAGAAAGAAACAAATTACTTCGGTGATTCTTGCACATTGAAACTCAAATATAGTAGGTGGAAAGCTATTGTGCTTCTTGATGCACAAGGCAAGGAGTGGCATTGTGATAATTACGATGAACAGTATTCCGGGTCACACAAATCACTCTAGATAAATAGATGCATTCTCTTCCTTTTTGAATCTGATGAAATTTTCTTTAAAGCTCTTTTACAAGTTTTCTGTATGTGATTCCTCTCTCTCTCTCACTCTCACTCTCAGATTACAACTCATTTGTAATACCTGTCAATTGTTACCTACAAGGCTGCACCTGTTTGTTCAGTGAATGCTGATATACCTGTTCTAAGTTTTTTTTTTTTTTCGATTGAAAAGCAAGTTTCATACTTTCTATTGTATAAAATGAAACATGCAATCATCCAAACCCTAGAAAGGGCAAGGGTAAAAGAGTCTCACAGGGGAAACAAGGGCAGTGCAACAATTCTCTGTCCACAAAATATTGCAATGACCCATTCAGGAGGAGCCTGCCCAATAAAATAATTCCCTAGTTTGTCTGTTATGATGAGGAAGTATCCATGGCCATGAGGCTATCCCATCATATCAGTCTTTTCACTCTAATGACGGAATTTATTTAAATACAAAAGGAGGATGCACTGTATTAGGTGTATTGATACATGTTCACCAAGTTTATTATATTTGTTGCAGATGACACACAACAATGTTGGAGCATTGGTGGTGGTGAAACCAGGGGAACAAAAGTCAATTGCTGGAATTATTACAGAGAGAGGTAAGAATATTGACTTCAGATGCTCTATAACTATAAATGAATAGGTGATATGTTGGACATGTGTTATTTATTTTCCTGTGCTGCATTGTGGGTTCAATTATTTGTGAATGTAAGAGATAAAGCTTGCTTTGGATTGGTGAAACTAAGAACCTTTCAGTGCCCAATTTGAAGTGGTTCTTCTTCTCCATTGTGAATCCAAGGGGGATGAATTAACAGTCATGTGCATTGGGTAGTATGTGATGACATGATTGGATTTCCACATGTTCCAAGTATGATCTGATGGTCATATGCAAATCTCCCTCAATAATATCCTCTTCATACCCAACAAAAAAAAAAAAAAAAAGAATGCAAGTCCTTGAGGAGAGAAAGCAACTTTGCCATCACGCTAATACCAATCACAAATGTAAGCACAGTACTTACTGCTTTCCTGGAATACTCCGATGTTTGACCCCAGAAATTTAAGCTTAACAAGAGACTTATCTTTACTGGAATGAACAGAATAGGATCACTGATTTCCTTTGTAACGCTGTACGGGTCTATTTCAATTTCAACACCACTAGTAAAAGCACTATCACATCTCTTTTGAAGAAGCTGCCATGAAAGGAGCCAAGGAGGCAGCATAAGGGGTCGGGAACATGGAGGATCTGACGTGATCCTATCATTCCAGATGTAATAAAGTGGTTTTTGAATTTTTTTGATCAATAGTGGTTTTTGGTTTTTATTTGATCATCTTCATGTGTCTTAAAGACTTGATTGTCATACCTATTTCACAACACATTGCAAATGTTGAAATCATATATTCTTCATAAAGTCTTGACAATCACTTCACTTTTCCTTGTCAATTTTGCTGTGCATTGTAGCTTTACACTTGTGTCATCATCTGTCAATAGACCTGTTTACAGGCTGGGCTACATGCTTGGCTTTGGGGTGAGCCCAATCAAATATTTACAAAAGCTAAGCCTGAGCCTGGCCCATGAACAGGTCTTTCTGTCAACAGTATTTTATCAGGTTGATAAAAGAGTAATTTGGAGGTGGAGGGGCATATATGATTGCACAAGGGCATTTTATTTTGACCTGTTTATCTTTAATGTCGCATCTGGCAGTTTTAAGGGCACGCAATTGTTTACACCATGCACATTGTCTTTATGACTGCAGTGCTGTACATGTTATAAGCGTTCTTCAAGAATTAAATGGGTCTCATAGTGATTAAAAATCCTCAAGAATTACAATCCATGTGCTTAGTGACTGAAATTTTCTACTAATTATGTGATTTCCAGACTATCTCAGAAAGATCATAGTACAGGGACGATCATCCAAGTCGACAAAGGTTGGAGATATAATGACTGAAGAGGTATGAATTGAACACTCTAAATCCTGCTCAAGTTTCCTCATTTTGCAATGCTATTTGTGCATCTACTTCTATGGTTTTCAATTTGGTGACGATGAATCTATCTTTGTCTTGGCTGCTGATTTCAGAACAAGCTCATCACAGTGACACCCGAAACTAAAGTTCTTCGTGCAATGCAACTGATGACAGGTATATTTAATGTTTTTTACTTGTCTAGTCTTTTTAGTAATGATTTATTGAGGGGGGGTGCAGTGCACCTTTCAATGGGCATGGAATGAATTAAGAGTGACAATGTAGAATTTGGGTTTATGTTTGATTGGCAGAAAACCGGATCAGGCACATCCCTGTGATCAATGACAAGGGTATGATAGGCATGGTGTCCATCGGAGATGTTGTTCGGGCAGTGGTTACCGAGCACCGGGAGGAGTTGGACCGCCTTAATAAATACATACAGGGGGGTTACTAAACATGGGGTAGTGGATCGTGACAAATAACCATGCTGCCGCTGATGATGATGAAGAAAGATGTAGGACAAGTAACTCTTATGGTTCCTGGTGCTTTAAAACTGCTGGTGAATGTTTGTAAATAGTGTCTTTGCTGCTGCAACCATGCATCTTCTTGCCACCATCTTTTTGAGGTATAAGGTGGTGAATAATAAACGACTAACGTAATGGAAGCAGGTTGATGATCACTTGTCATTTACAATGTCGTCTCTTTGCATATTGGTTGACTGAGAGCTGCCAGTGAGACTAGAGGAGAATGCTAGGTCACAGATTTTTGTAGGATTTTGTTTGGGTGGATTAGGTTGGGTGCTTCATCATGTGACATCGACCTTAATGCCAATTGCCAACCTGGGTTGAAAAAGGTCAGACCATAACATGAGCTCGTCCTCAAGGCCACATGACGGTTTCCAGATCGGCACTCTAAGCTTGCGGAGATTGATCGAGTCATCTAAAATTCTGGATTAAGGTCCCTTCTCCCATGCTGAGTGCTGATGAAACTCGCATCACCTATTCCCTCTAGTCTGAAGCCAACGTGTTTCAAGTAACGCATGTTTCGTTGCCATTTACCTATATTAGGTTGTGTTTGGTACCATTGCTACTTCTATACCAACCAGTACCTTGTATTTTGGTTTGAATAAATGCGACAATTCAGTACCCGAATTTTCAAAATGTGACAACCCAGTACTCGAACTTTCAAAATGTAACAGTACCTAGTGTTAACCAGTCTGTTAATCGGCCGTTAAGTGACATTTGAAAAATAAAAAATGCTCTAAGAATGTTATCTAATTCTTTTTATCAACCATCCAAACATTGGCAATAAAATGAATAGTCCCAAATTCTAGATTCTTCTAAACAGTCACCAACTTTTTTGAATAGAAGAGGTTAGGATTTGGGACTGTTCAGATTTTTGTTAACGTTTGGATGGTTGATAAAGAGAATTAGATGGCATTTGAAGGGTGTTTTTGACTTTTGAAATGTCATTTAATGGCTGAAGACTGGTTAACGATAGGTCGACAAGTATTGGATTGTCATATTTTGAAAGTTCGGGTATTGGATTGTCATATTTTGAAAATTCAGGTTCTGAATTGTTGCATTTTAAAGTTCGGGGAACAAATTGTCACTCGAGCCAAAGTATAGGGGGAATTTTCCATATTTATAGTACAAACAACACTAAATTTGACATTTCATAGGAATCAATGGTATCCCATGTTGTATTGCTAATTCAAATAATTTGTGATAATATATATATATATATATATATGTGTGTGTGTATTATGTATGTATGTATACATATGTATATATTCTCATAAAATTTGCATTGACCAACTCAAAATGTTGTAAGTAAAAGTGACAATGGTACAAAATGCAACTATAGTCCTTTGGTCCTTAAATTTTTTATGTTTTAATCATGGTTTCGAAAAATGGATTGGATTGAACGGTCAGACTGGTTGACCTGGGAACTAGTTAGGCAGCCAGTTTCATTTCATCCTAAAATCATTCATGACCGTGGACTTGGTTAGTGACTTGCTAACCTAGGCGGTAAAACCGTCGATCCATTGACCTAACAATGGTTTTTGGCTGTTTTTATTTATTTTTTAATCAGAATAAGTTGTCTGCTTGAACTGGACGGTTGGACCATTTGACTTGGGGACCGGTGACCAAAATGGTTTTGTGTCCGGTCTAGTTTTTAAAACCTTGGTTTTAATCGAACATCTTTAAGGAGTTTTGGCTTCATTGTGCCTAAGGCCGTGCTTGTATTGCTTTCAATTGTTGTGGGATTTCTTTTCATTTGCTATTGTTAAAGGTACAAGATTGGATCCAAGCATGACTTTAGCAGGAGAGGAACATGCATTGATGTAATCTCTCTCTTAATGCTATCTTCAGCTGTTCTACGAATCTTGGAAGCAGGGTTCGGCATGGGTTTGCCTCAACCTAACCTGACTCTCCAGTGCCCTAACCCAAACCCAACTAAAAAATTAGGTAATTCTTGAACTTGACCTGACCTTATAGGGTCTAACCCAATACCAACCCGTAATATTTCAACTGTATTTTTTAACACATTTTAAAGACCTAAAATTCATTAATTTAAATTAGGAAATTGTTTTATAGATTTTAAGGTGTCACTTTTTCATTTAAAAAAAGAAGAAAACCAAAATCAACATGTAAATACATCTTAAACTTTAAGACTATAGAATTAGAAATTAAGAAGTTACAAGAGCACTTTGTATATACGAAGGGTGTTATGCTCCAAAGGGGCGGGCCAGTCAAAACTTGAACCCAACTCGGGTTGAAGAATCAAAACCCTAACCCAACCCTAAAATTGAATATTTCTCACACTCTGACTATAGGATCAAGTCTACTTGGAACAGTTTAGGGACGTTGCATGTGGAACGCCCCCAACAAGAAACCCTCCATTCTCCATATGTTAACAATCATCACAAAGAAGGGCAGATTTAGAAAAGAGAACAATTAGGAGTTATAAATGAAAATGACAAAAAAAAAAAAGCACAAAAGCAGTTGTCCAACAAGTTGTTATATATTCACCTTCCACTTGTATGATAACATCTAAAAGTTGCATGATAGCATGAAAGGAATGAAATTTAATGAAAATGATAGATAACAAGGGTTTTGTTTTAAAAGGCTGAAGCATGCAGCCCTTCAAATGATTGCCTGAGTTGATTTGGTCAATCCAGATTTTTCACCATAGGTTGTACTTTGTAGGCTGTTTGTGTGTGGGATCTACTTTATAAGCCTTTGTACTTTAGCCCTCTTAGGGTATGTTTGGAACCGTGGTTGTTTTTCAAAAACAAACGGTGCTACATTGGATCCGCATAGGCGTTTTAACAAATGCCCATGTATCTTATTGTTTGGTTCAGCTGATTATTAAAAAACCAGGCATGCCTCGAAAATCCGGACCCCACTGATGCAATGCCATTTCCCCCAATGATTGACTAATGTGTATCCTATGTGGTGCTTACCTGTCAGCACATACATGAAAAACGGTGATGAAAATCACCTTACCAAACAACATAGTATTGCTCACTGCTTACATGGTAGAAGCATTTTTTTTTTTTGTGAAAAATGGGTCTTAAAAGCATGGGCGTTTTTTTTTTGAATATCGGTTCCAAAAAGCACCTACGCTTCCAAACACCATGTTAAACTGGCACTAGTTACAAGAAGATAGAGGTTAGAGCTACTCAGTTACAGCTAGTTGTAGGACTATCGCCTCCGACTCTCCATGGCGGTGTTTGGAAGTTGGAACTGGTGCCATTGCTCCAGAAAACAGTGACATATCAGCGCTACATTGGAAAAATCGATGTTCTAGGAAATGCCAATATGTTTGAAACTGTTTTTCCATAAAAAATGGTGCTCCAAGCCACGCCTTGGAAATCGAGTAGGCGTGGTTTGAAGCAATGCTGAATTTGACATTTTCTCAAATTGGAGCTTGTTGCTGCCAACGGGAACATGATGTGGCAGTGACGTGGACTTCCTATAATGGGTACCAGTGCTAAAAACAGATATGGAGCATTGGTACCAAACAGAAGGTGTTGTTGTTGCTCCAGGAAACATCCTACTTGGAAGCAACGTTTCCAAACAAAAAAAAAGACCGTTTTCTCAAAAAATGGTGCTTCCAACCCACACATATACAACGCCGGTTTGAGCACTGGTACTAGACCTGTTCATGGGCCGGGCCGGGCCGGGCTTGGGCCGGGTTTTGACTCTTTATTAATAGAAAATTGTTAGGCCCGAGCCCGAGCCCGGCCCTGATAAAAAGCCCGAAGCCCGAGCCCGAGCCCGAAGCCCGACCTAATAAAAGAAATTCAAAATTTTCCCTATTCAAATGAACATTTTCTATTTTAATTTAGATGTTTTTTCCCTATTTAAATGAACAATGGGCCTACAAGTGAATCAATGACCTTCTCAAATCAAAAAAATTATTCAAATAGACATCACATAGGGTTTTTACTTAGGTTTAACTATAGGTCGGGCTGGGTTTACTTAGGATTAACTATAGGTTGGGCCGGGCTGGGCTATTTTGGCAAAGCCTGAGGCCGACTCGAATTTTATGCGGGCCAGGCTTTTTGGCCCGAGGTTAAGCCCGTGGGCCAAAAATCCTGTTCAAGCCCGTCCGGGGGTCAGGCCGGGCCGGGCCGGCCCATTGGGCCACCCGGTCTACGAACAGGTCTAACTGGTACCAAACAAGAGTTGTTGTTGCTCTAGGAAACGTCCTACCTGGCAGCAATGTTCCCAAACAAAAGGAAACGCTGTTCTCAGAAAATGGTACTTCCAACCCACACATATACAACACCGTTTTCTCAAACGATGTTGTATCTGCAGCATCGATGCCAAACATATACCAAGTTTTTCACTAGATATTGAATAGGGGAGGAAGTCCAGTCGCCCAATTTGAGGAATTTTAATTGCATTGGGTTCAGGTTTAGACTTGGGCCAAATGAAGATTTAACAAATCCCCAACCCACTCTAGCCTAAGTTGCACCCCCTAGATATCCTTTTTTAATTTGTTGGCTTATTTTTTTGGTGCAAATCTAAGCCGAAAACAAATTTTACACCCATTCCAATTTTGCATCCATTTGTTTGTAATTATGATTTACACTCTTACTTGACAAAAAAATTGAAACTTTTATCTATGGTTTTTGAATCGCCGTTGATCCGGATGGTTGGACCGTTCAGTCCGAGAACTGTCTAGATAACCGGTTTCATTTTACCCCAAACCCAGATGGTCAGACTCCCGATACACTATTGACTGGGCGGTCGAATCATCAACCTGTTCAATGGTTTTGGCTGTTTTTTTAATTATTTTTTTATTTTTTGTTGTCAGAACGGGCCATCCGTTCGAACCAGACAGTCGAACTATTGACCTGGAAACCGGTGGCTAGAACGATTCTATTTCCAGGTTGTCTTTTAAAACCATACTTTTATCTCATTTGCATTTAATGGCAGTGTAAGAATTGAATCCCAAAAGCTTATACAAAATTTACATTAGTTGGGATTTGCACCCAACAAAACCCATTCCAACATGATCCACACTGCACATCTCACCATGAGACTAGGGTCCCACCATGTCTGACATGTAAAAGGTGTTGGGTCATGTTGGAGGCGTAATGGAACATATTTCATTGGGAGAAGATCTAGACTCAATTCTCTCTCATATAAAGTTGGGACCATATCATCTTGCTT